AATCCTTGTTCATCACGCAGTTCCTGCAGGAAAAAAACTGATCGGCCAGGGATTCATTATGCAGCAAGATAATGACCTGAAACATACTTCAAAGCTTTGCAAGAATTTCTTGATGAAGAAAAAAGAAAAGAATATACTAAAATTAATGGAATGGCCACCACAATCTAAATCCAATTGAATGGCCACCTAATCTAAATCCAATTGAACTTCTATGGGAAGAACTTGATCGTAAAGTGAGGAACCAATGTCCAACCTCTCAAGAAAGCCTCTGGAATATATTAAAAGCCTCTTGGAAGCAATTAGAGCCAATTATTTTGCAAAATCTAATCAACAGGATGCCTAGAGTAGTCAAAAATGTGTGTAAGGGTTAAAGGTAGCTTTTTTGATGAAAAGAAGGTTTGATTTTTTCTAATCGCGCGCGTAAGGGTCTCAAATGATAATGTTTTGTTTTGTTTCTTGTACTTTACAAATAAATATAATATTTTCTTTGATTTTGATCGAATATTCATGTTTATCTTAAACATTTTTATCCTTATACTGTAAGTATGCATGATGTCCAAAGATTTTTGACCGGCCGTGTACGTAGCATATTCTAGTTTTAGGGACATAAGGTTCTACTTTGTATTTTGCATTAAATGGAGTCACTTCGTTAGATAATCTCTGTTCTTTTGCAAATTTAACGCAAAGTGTTCTAGAAGGGATATAGGTTATTTGTACCTTTAAAAACAGCCGCTTTTTTTAAATTGCTGGAAAAACCGAAAAATTTCGGTTTTTTTTCCGAAAAATTGGTTTTTTTTTTAAATTGCTGTTTTTGCTATATAAAAGACATAATAATAATAACTTCTAAATTCCTTTATAAAATTAATTCGATCTATGAAATTATGTAGCATTATTTTATTAAAATTTTTTAGTTATCCTTCTATTTTTATAGTAAAATCTAATCTAATCTTCCTTTAGTGGACACTTCCTTTACATGGCAAAGTTTAAGTAGACAGATTTTTAACTCTAGTTTGTCATACTCCGGTCTACTGAACTCCCGAAGTGTCTCTTTGTAGTTTATTTTTTTTTCAAATATTTTATTACGAATTCAGTTTAAATCGAAATTATTTTTTATACTTACTATTATCATATAAACATGATGTTTGGACTCTATATTTTTAATTCTTACATTAATGGTGCAATAGTGTATGTTTTGTATGTTTTATTGAGTTCATTATGCGACCTCAATCTTTTATACAATTTCAAAATTTCTGTTAACTTATCCCGCTGTTTACCCTATACGCAATTATTTTCTTTACGGAAAGAACCGAGAAGCAAACGTGGTAGGTTTTACGAGCACGCGTGAATTTTTCCAAGATGAATTTTTCTACCCTTGGGAAAAAAAACCGAAAAAATCCGCGAAAAAATTGGGTTTTTTCCGATCCTTTAAAACTATAGTTATTTGATTATTAATTACTATCCTGCGATTGAGACGCTGAATGTCAATAACTCTCGCCGAAGAAGATAAATTTTCTTTTATGCATTCTAAGGTTAATGATTGGTCGATATCTTTGACAATGCCAGTACGAAGTACTCGGAAGGAAGGAATGAATATCCTTAAATTATGCTTCTCAAAGACAGGGTTAGATATCATCCTATTAGTTGCGTTTGCGGTTTTGACCTTTACGATTGCCTTGCCCTCTCCCAATTGTTTGATTTGAATAATGTCTTTACTGGAAACTTCCGAGACAATATGCGACAAAACGGAAAAATGTAGCGGGAAGTTCTTGTCCGAATAGGCATAAACCACATAAGACGGGGTGTTTTTAACGGAATATAGATTAATATTATTACCGTCTTGCATCATTTTTATCGTACCTGAAGCCTGTGTAGTGGAATTTACAGAGTTGTCTGATTTTGTCTTAGGCGATTGGCCTTGTCTATTAGTCTTATCCACAACCATAACCTTATTTTTGACCTTGGTATCAGCGGACTTCTCAAGACGTTTTCTAGAAGACTGAGAAAATTTTAGATCTATAGGAAACGGATCCATAGGCAACAGGGTGTCGCCAGCCACAGTTTTCTGCGAAGACTCTAAATTCAAAAATAAAGCGTTAGCTTCTGCTAACAGGTTGTCCAACATGACTTTTAAAGCTGTGTTGGCGACATCTGACTCTTCTGAAACTTTTCTGTCGTCTAAATTCTTTTAATGTAGTCCGTCATGGGCACGAAAGAACCGGGACTGAGAAGGGACGTCATCCAACATGTTCGATTTGATTTTCCGTGAAATATGTTGTTAAACACAAAAATCTAAGAGACACGTATTTTTTTATACGTGCGCTAACTCATGTTTAAGGGGTGCAACTTGAAAGAAAATGGTATTTCTACAATATTTCGAGCCGAATACCGTCGGAAGTATAAAAGATGGAAAAAATTTTTTTAAACAAAAGTTGTACAAAAGTTGTTTCAAGAGTACTTCAATGTTGTGAAGAAACAAAATTTTATAATTTTTTTGTTGACAATTGTTAAACAAAAAAATTAAAAAAATTTTATAGTGTTACCACAACCAACAGTTGTGACTGCTTTGAATAATGATATTAATTTTGTTCGACATACATTTACAAGAATAGGTTAATCGATTTTAAACTGAAGACTGTGAGTCGAAACGTTTTTATAATTAAATTTGGTACGTTGTTTAATGTATAAATAATATTTTAATTTTTAATACCTAAAGTTGTTCGTTTATTGATCGTTTCCGAAAGTTACTTGTTGTGCTGTTGCAAATATCAAGCGTTATTTACATTTCTTTGTTATTACTATAATAATTTTTGTATTGTTTATTTTAGAAAAAATTAAGTTTGAAGAAATGTAGGAATTGCTCATGTATAGATATATATAAATGAGATTAAATGAGATAGAATAAGATTCTTATTGTTGATATATATAAAATTATACATAATTATGTAGGAGCAATTTTTTTAACATTTCTCCTAATTTGATTTTTTCTAAAACAAACAAATTATTCTTGCAATTATTATTTATGTTTTCTAATTGTTATTATTCTTTTTTTATAATAAAACAGTAATTTCACAAAAGAAAGAAAGATGGACATGTATGGACATATTTCATATACAATTATATATAATTATATATTTTTATGCATGTTTATGTATGTTGATATGTATATATTCGTGTATAAAAAATTTTTTATCGGGTATTAATACCATAATTAATTTTTAACTTAATTTTTAACCAAAATACATGTGCTAATATATTATACATTAGTAATTTTGTAATTAATATGACACTTATTATTAATACTTGCTGCACAGGTTCTTATTGTAAATTGGTTATTGACTCTCTCTCTCTCTCTCTCTCTCTCTCTCTCTCTCTCTCTCTCTGTCATTGTTCATTTAATTTTCTTCCAATTTAATTTAAGACAAAAATTATGAAGGTTAAAAAAAGAAACTAAGATGCATTATAAAGTGTGTCAAACAAGGAAAGATTCAGTATACCAATGTTTCTCGACGCGAAATATGTTTTGCGTTTCGCAGTTGGTAGGTCTTGCCTACTATGAATAGTCAATAGAGCGCAGATACTTACAATTAGACAGAGACATTGTCCAACTGCACACATTATGTATTCCCTCCACCATGGCTGAGCCGCTTCACCACGACAAGTGGCGCGTCACGAAGAGGATATAAAAACCTCGAAAAGTAAACTTTAGTAAACTCATCTTGTTTTCGTTTGATGAAGATGCAGATCTTGATTTACTCGTATATTCCATACTATTTCATTAAGATATACACATAGTTTTAATATTTTATTCAAATTATGCAGATCTTTGTAATTTTGGTTGGGCCTTGGTGAGGCACTCCACATTTTCGGCACTTTGCTAAAAAACCACCTGATATATAAGAACAAAAAAAGGCATATATTTCACACTACTTAGCCTTTGCGGTATCAACCAGTCACTATCAGAATTAGCTGTCTAAATAAGACCATACTTGTCGAAGTTGTATTTACGAAACTATTGGTCCTAAAAATATGAACAAAATTCAAGGAAATACAATATTATCTATTAAGAGAGGTTACAAAGTGTCGTTATCTTAACATTTTGCTAAACACATCGTTTGTATACACAAATTATGGACCATAATTTTCAGTCAGAAAATCTTGCAGAATACTCTTCCTTCAAACAATCTGTATCTTGCATAAAAATTGACAGAGAAGAAAAAAAAGTATTTTGTAGGAAATTTTATAAGCTTTAATTTGGTATACTTTATTTTTTACGTAATTCCTTAAAAACTCAGATATTTATAAAAAAGTAATGAAGAACACGTTTTTTTTTTTTTTTTTTTTTTTTAGAAAATGAAAGAAGGCAATTTTTCTCGAAGCTGTTTTTTCAAAAATAAATTTTAGAAAGTGATACGCAACTCGGATCGTATATAAATACATGTAAACTTTGAGAAACATACGGATATTATTTTTCCAATTTGATTACATACCTGATAAATAAACTCATATTTTAACATATAAATTGAAGGTCCCATAATATTTTTGAAACACCATATCTTGGGAATTATTAAGGTGCTCCTACATAACTTGCAAATCACAAAACGTAGTTCGCAAACGCAGATGCAGAATAAAGATTTGCATTTGTTTTTTCATTGAATGCAGTTGGTTTTCATCTGTATGTGTCTTGCGTGCGATGATCGTCATTCTTCAGCATTTGCGAACTATGTTTTGCGATTTGCGAATTATATAAAGACCTTAGTCGTTTGAGGTTAAAAAAATTTTTCAAGCTAATTTCATAAGCTTTAAGACTACTTATGTACATTTTTCATATACGATAAGTCATAAACAAAATTTTGTAAGGAATTGAAAAACCTTTCGAGTTGATAATTGGTATTTTTTACGTAGGAGTAGCCGAATCCGAGATATTTACATAAAAAATAAGTTTTGTTAAAAAATAACAGGAAACATTTTCAAAATTGTATCTTGGAAACTATTGGTCGTACATGGGTAAAAAACGATTTTGTATGGAATTCAGTAATCTTCAGTTTTTGTAAGAGGTATTTTTTACATAGAAGTAGTCAAATCCGAGATATTTACGAAAAAGTGTGAAAAATCATTTTATTCTCGAAATGACCAAAAATACGACATTCTTAAAAAAATTCTATCACGGGGGGGGGAAATATTGATCGTATGACCTTAAAAAAAATTAAATTGTTCATAATTTTGTCAGCTTTCTTTTGATAATGACTTTTATTTCGATAAAATGAATATTTTCACAGATATATTTGAAAAACCGCATCTTTGAAGCTGGAAAGTTTCCCATGTCCATTGGCCGTCAGAACTTTTAGTATGTTGTATTAGTTGTATATTATGTCATTTTGAACAACTTCCCACAAACAAATCTTTTTATGGCAATTTTGCTTCCAAAAAATCTAATTTTCCTGGGCTATATGTTGAATTTTAATTTTTATGATATTTTATTTACTTAATATCTTACTTTTGTTTTTTCAGCAGAGAACGAACAGGGAATAGGTGATTGGTCAGCCAACTATAATTCGTATACCGACTGTGGCGATGTTAATTCCGCACAAGTATGTCGTTTATTTCTAGATTGATTTTTTTTATCAACAGCTAGAGTAAAACTAGCTGTAGGAACAGTTTTAGAAGCCTCTTTGAAAGAATTACTCATTTGTTAACCTGTACAGGATGGAAAAGCCGCTAATGATACTAAAACGGTGTATATTTTGAGGCAAAAAATACAATAAAAAATAATGAATTATAAGAATCTTAATCAAGGAAAATTTGTAAAATTTAAAAAATAGATTCCCGCCCTCTCTAAAGATTAATAAAAATTAAAAACCCAAGCTTTAAATTCATATTAAGAAATCTTACGACTTATCTATCGAATTCCATCAAATGATATTCACTTTTTAAGCACATTACATGAATATTAATATAAGTCTAATTAAATACTCATAATAACTTGTTGAATACTTCTGTTTAAATATATTTTACTTGTGCAGACAATTTATATATATGAAAAATAGTTTAATGAATATTTTGAATTAGAAGTTTTAGCATATAAATTATTATATTGTAATGCTTTTATCTTTTTATAGGGAATGATGAGTTATTCAAAATGTATTTAATCTAATACGAATTACATTAGATTCGAATTGCATTTGATTAAAAATACTTTTATATAGCTTAGGGTAACCAGACGTTCCGATTTTAACAGGATTCCGTTTTTTTAGTCGCATCCCGTTGTCCCGACAATTTTTTAACGGGACGCATGTATGTCCCGTTTCTTCCAATTGATATGTACACGTAATGTCTAGGAAAATGCAATGTTTGAATTTTGCGCCTTCTGTCTCTAATTGGTTGTGTTTTGGAACCACTTGGTTTAGAGAGCCTCTTAGGAAGAACATTTAACAATTTGCTTTTAAAAAATGTTAAGCTTCTTAGGCAAATATCATCATCAGACAAATACGATGCCATGCAAAGTGCCCTACAAACGATATAAAGCAGAGAAGGATCTGAAAACTATTGTAACCGTCGTGCTCCCATCATGACATTTAACATGTATTAGTGATTGTAACATTACTTAAATGGAATATATATCTTTTACTGGTTATTTACTTGTCTAATATTATAATAATTTATATTAATATTATTTATTATATCGCAATAAATGAAACTATTTGCTACGGCGTTGTAGAAAATCTCTTTAGAAAATCGTTTGATCGTTATTGATCTCCATATCAAAAATCGATTAATCGATAAGCATTTTTACAATTCTCTAGCTCGCTTCGCTCGCGTCCCGTTTTTTCATTTCGAAAATCTGATTACCCTAATATAGTTACTTATTATTACATTTTTTCTGTGTTGTCGGAAGATTTCGTTTTGGTAAAAAAAAAAAACGGAAAATAATCATAGCTAAAGAAACCTTTTTCAAGTGTCATTCATTGATTTTTCTCATATTTTGGATTTTGATTCAAAATATGAAAAAGTAATTTTTCGTGCTAAAAATAACTGCTTAATATACAGGGTGTTTCCAAATTAAATGGCAAAACTTCGGGAGCGTGTAGAGGAGTAAAAAACTAAGAAAAAAAGTCCTATAGACATATGCTCCTTTTTGCTTTGTTTCGCAGGAAATCACGAAAAAAGAAAAAAATATATTTAATTTATTATTTTAATTATTTTATTTATAAACTTTTTAATGAAGATTTTGTTCGAAATGTGCACCTCTTGCAGCAATACAAGCATTGCATCTGTCAAACACGGCTCTTGTAGCAGCCAGGCACT